GGGGAAAATCTATAACACACACACACACACACACACACACACACACACACACACACACACACACACACACACACACACACACACAATCATTTTTGTGTCTGTCAGTCTTTCTCTGTTGTTTGTCCTCCCCCTGATTTTTTCTGAGTGTTTTTGTGTACCCAACTGAGCACCCTTAAGTTGTGCCAAACTGTCGGTGGTTCCTCATTTGGAGTGCCTACTGCACTCTTATGGGGGCTGCTCGGCTCGGGATGTCTGTGTTACCTGTTGGTGATGACGGATGTTCGTCGGAGTGACTCCCTGGCTAAGTGGGTGGTGGGAACCAACAGTCTGCGGGGTTCAATCGTGATGTGAGTAGGTCATGGGCTGCTTTGCTTCGTGTTGGATGTGTGGACATCCTCGTCTGCGCTCCACCGCTTCCCTTCTGCCTGTCCCGCTTGCTTCGCATGTGGTTCTTTGCAGGTTGATGTGTTCGCTGTGCGATGTGGCCGTGTTATTGGTGTTGCCTTGTGCTTCGCTGCTCCACTGCCAGGCTGCTCATCCGCTGGCCGTGCCTTCCGTGCTTGCCGCTTGTGTGCCCTGTAGGCTGGTTCCCTTGTTGCTGGTGGCTTGTGCTCCGCTCCACGGTTGCCGACCTGCTGGTCTGCTCGCCCTGTTGTCCCCTGGAGTGCTGTTGCCTTGTTTGTGTTGTCTTGTACTTCACTACACGGTCGCCACGCTGCATGCCCTGCGTGCCATGTCGTTCCTTGCAATCGTTTTTGGTGTTGTGCAGCTGTGTTGCCTCTACTGTGTTGCCTGGTTGTTGCATACTTGTGAGTACTTCAACAAGTATGGGCAGAACCAAGAGATCAACCAATACAGGATGAGCATGTATGCAGCGGGAGTATGATAAATGGACTGACTCACGTAGACTGACTCACACAGATATCACTCCACACACAAACAATCGTGAGATGGTGGGGTCTGAGCCAATCATAGACGATGCTCAGGCCCCGTACACACATACACAGATGAAAGGTGGGAGAAGAGATGAAGGAGGTGGGAGATGTAGGCAGCGCCAGATGTCACCGAGATAGAATCCAGTAGGTCACCGATATGGTARTCCAAAATGTCATCGAACAAGATCAAAATGTCRTGGACAWYAAGTCACSAATGTCGGAGGTACAGAGTCSTAATGTAACCGGTGTCCAATCTKTGATGCCGCMGAGTATCAACCCCAACAATCTCYAAGTCTCGAATCCGGTAAGTACCACAGCCTCTTACCACCGAAGTCCAACACTGATCTCTGTCCAACTAGTATCAAGTCTCCAGTCTGAAGAAGAAGTCTGAAGAAGAAGAAGAAGAAGAAGAAGAAGTCTGAAGAGGAAGAAGAAGAAGTCTGAAGAAGAAGAAGAGATGGCAGAGGAGGAGGAGGTGAGGAGGAGAGAGCCTGGGGCCGTGGAGGGAGGAGAAGACCTCACTCCCGAGTACCTGGACTGCTGCAACTGACTGCAACCGAAGTCGGCTATGGCTGCCCGCTGCCTGGCTCCTCGCTCGCTGCTGCTGCTGCGCTAGCTGCGCTGCTGCTGCTCCTCCGCGCTGCGCTAAGAATAGCGCTGGCGCTAACGCTCCTCTGCTGAACCTATACGACTGGCGCTCTAGCAGCGTCCCAGTGCTCGATGCCTCACAATGAGGCTGGACCGGTCTTTAGTACCGATGGAAACGAGGCCGGCCTCAATGCTGCAAGGCCTGGCCGTGACCTGAACCGTCGAGATCGTCGGTTCAGATCAGACCGGCGGGCGGCAGCCTCAAGAGCGCCGCCAGGCCCAAACGGTAATGTCGTTTGGGCCTGCCCGTCGGATCTGGTCCAAAAATGCGGCCTTTCGGCCTGCTGTACCCCCAAGTCTGGGCCTTTAGGCCGTATTGTGTCCCCTTGGCCCTAAGCCGGGTCCGGTAGGACCCGTGTGGCGTCGAAGATGTAACACACTCCCCCTCTTAAAAGACCGAGCTACCTGCGCGGGCGGAGTTGTTTGTCCGATACCGGGGTGGGTCGGGTGGGACGAACTGCTTCCTTGGCAAGTCGTCGCTTCTCATAGTCGGCGAAGATCAGGGGTGCAGAAGTCTGCAAGTCTGCTGGGGAGATCCACCGAGTGTCGTCAGGCGCACATTGCTTGAATGTGACTTTGAACTGCATTGGCTTGTTGCCATACTTGCGGTGCGTGATGACTTGGTCGACTTCCTGATGTCCGTCCATAGAAGGCGGATCCTGTGATCGTCGGGCCGGAAACTCGTCAGCGGAAGGTGGCGTGTAGATGGCCAGCTTCGACGCGTGGAAGACCTGGTGCACCGTAAGGTGCGGTGGAATGTTGACCACAAAGGAAGGACCTGCGGGGTCGTCTCCAACGGCAGAAGTAATTTCCCATGGTCCGAACCATTTTGGAAGTAGTTTGCACGAAACGTCCTGCTCGAGCGCGAATTCCTCGGAGAGGACCCAAACAAGGTCTCCCTCGCGGAAAGGACATGGAAGTTGACGTCGGTTAGCTTGCTACTGCACGCGGATTTGAGCCTTTTGCATATTCGCGCGGGTTTTGATTAGCAAGTCCCGGTACTTCCGAACGGAAGCGGGAGAGCAAGGGACGTCTATGTTGGCGGCCCGTGGTAGAAGGAGATCAGAGAAGATCCGTGCTTTCTCTCCACCATGATGTAACTCGAATGGTGTGACGCAGATGGCCGGGTGCACCGAAGTGTTATAGGCGAACTCGATGTCGGGAAGTCGGTCAACCCAGTCTTTCTGGTCGGGACGGATGAGCGTACGCAACATCATTTGAGCGGTTTGGTGCGCTCGCTCCGTCTGGCCATCCGTCTGCGGGTGCCGAGCCGAGCTCGGCTTCATTGTCATACCGGACTCAGCCATAAGGGAGGTCCAAAAGGCCGACATGAAGCGAGTATCTCGGTCGCTCACTATGTCTTCTGGAACACCCTGGTTGGTAATCCAACCGGTGTGCAAGAGCGTGCGAGCTCAGGCACTGCAGCATGATACTTGCAAGGAAGGAAGCGAGCATACTTGCTCAAACGGTCAACGACCGTGAGAATACCGTCATGGCCGAGGCGATCATGGGGGAACGGGCCTGTCACGTCCATAGCAGTGGAGAGGCGCGGTGCCCGAGGAATCCGCAACGGTTTCAGTTCGCCAAAGGGGACTCGAGATCGACCCTTGTTACGGTGGCAAACTGCACATGACTCAATGTACCTCGTGACGTCGTGAAGGACGTCGGGCCAGTGAAAACGMTGGCGGAGGCGTGCTAATGTGCGGTTTACGCCAAGGTGTGCCGAAAGTCGTGCGTCGTGGAATTCGCCGAGAAGACGAGTTCGTAAGATGCGGTCTTGGGGCACAACTAACAAGTCCTTTCCTCTCGTGTGAAGGAGAAGGAACCCGTTGGAAATCCGATAATGGCTAGCCGGTGGGTGATCCGATGAAAGCTCCGCGTAAAGCGTAGAGTAAGTTGGATCGGACTTGTAGCCTTTGACGAAATGCGGCTGCAGATCGTCATCGAGGTCGAATGCCGTGGTCACAATGGCACAAAAGTCGGGCCGTCGTGAGAGGGCGTCCGCAGCTCGATTGGCGGGGCCGGGGAATGTGGCACGGGTCAAAGTCGAATTGGTCGATGTAATACATCTATCGACCGATCGTGCTAGTGACCGTGTCCTGCGTTTTATAAAAGGTCAATGGATTGTTGTTCGTATTCCATTTAAAACGCCGACGACCGAGAAGAAAGTGGCGCCACCGTTTGAGAACGGTGACGAACGCGAGTAGCTCTTTCTTTCTAGCGTCATCGAGAGTGTTGATGAGAGGCACCTTTTGGGAGAAATACTCGACCGGATGCCAACCGTTCCCGTGACACTGTTCCAACACCGCACCAATACCTTATCCCGAAGCGTCCATAGTCACTTGGGTGGGAAGGGTGGGGTCGTCTATACGGAGGGCAGGTGCGGCTTGCATTGCTGCCTTCAACGTAGTGAACGCGCCACGGGCTGCGTCGTCGAACTCGAAGGGCACCTTTGGGGACTGAAGTCTCGACAAGGGAGCGGCYACTTTCGAGTATGACTSGACGAATCGYTGATAATATCCAGCCAAACCCATGAAAGAGYGTACATCCGTCGTGCAACGGGGTTCTGRCCAATCCACGATGGCTTGGATCTTGTCCGCTAAGGGACGAATGCCTTTCRGCGTGACAWARTGWCCCAAGTACTCAARCTCYTGCTTGGCGAACTCGCACTTGTCGAGATTCGCTTTGTACTTGGCCAGTCGCAAACGATCCAAAACAGCGCAAAGGTGTACGATGTGCTCGTCCAACGTCCTACTATAAACCAAGATGTCGTCGAGGTAGATGAGGACGCTGCGATCGAGCAAGTCGTGAAACTCAGTCGTCATAGCTGCTTGGAAAGTTGTGGGGGCATTGGTGAGGCCAAATGACATGACAACCCACTCAAAGTGCCCGTACCGTGTCTTGAACGCGGTTTTGTACCGATCTTGAGGCTGGATTTCAATCTGGTGGTAACCTAACTTCAAGTCCAACTTCGAGAAGTACGTCGCGCCGCCTAACCGCTCAAGGAGATCATCAATCCGAGGGAGAGGGCCGGCGTTCTTTACGGTTTGTGCGTTAAGCTTTCGATAGTCGATGCATAACCGTAGATCTTTGTTCTTCTTCCGGACGAATAGAACAGGGGCACCGTAAGGCGAACAACTAGGGTGAATCCAACCCTTGTCAAGGAGTTCGTTGAGTTGTGCGCGAAGCACCTCGAGTTCCTCTTCGCTCATGCGGTAAATGCATCCACGCGGAGGGACGGCGCCCGTCTCGAGAGTGATCTCGTGACGTATGGGCCGATCCGGAACCGTTCCGGTGGGAGCCTCAAAGACGTCTCCATACTTGTCCAAGAGGTGAGAAATGCGTGGATCCGGCGGTGACGCGGCTGGTCCGTCCAACGAGGGGAGAGCATGCAAGAATACAAGGCCCATCTCCTCGACGTCATTCCGAGCTATGGCGTCGCGAATTCTCGCAACGGAAACCACGTGACAAGCAATCGAAGTGTGAGGGGTCGCGACCGTACATGGGACTAACACTCCGTTCCGATCACGGATGTGAACAGTTCGGTCATGAAAGTTCACCGGATGATCGTCGCTACGCAACCAAGACATGCCTAGAATCATGTCGAACTTGGTTTCGAGGATGTCAAAAGACACCAGCTCACACGCAAGTGGTGCAAAGTATACTGGAACGCCGTCGACGCATCGGTCAATTGACTTGTGCGTGCGGCCGTCCGCGAGTGTAACTTGCGTAGGTTGCGTCTTCCTTCGAACGCGTGGGCCAAGGCCTGCGCGGGCCATAAAGGCTTGGCTCATGAAATTGCGAGATGCTCCGCAATCAATCAAGGCACTGCAAGTTGTCTTTCCGATTTGAATGCGGATATATAGCAAAGGCGCGTCGGTCTCGGCGTACCTTTGGGTGGCATGCTCGCGGTCAATCTTCGCAAGATAGGAGCGGAGATCGACAACCGCTACTCCGTCGTCCGTCAACGGAGCTGGTATTGCAGCGTGCAAATAGGAGCGTAGATTGGCCATCAAGGCGTTACAATGCGGCCTTGGCAAGGTTCCGGTTGAGGGTAGAGGCATCCAAGCGAAGTCTTCTCTCGTGAGCGGGTCAAGCTCCTCAAGTCTTGACCACGTCGTCGAGTCCTCGGAAATCAGTGGCGAGCTGACCGGATCACTTGCCGACGGTGTACAGGCTGCGCATACGCTATCTAAGTGCACGTGGCTAGGCTGGTCTAATGGTGGTACCAGCTGGGCGGCATAATCCTCGTACGTAGCACGAGAATCAGCGACAAATGCATGCTCCCCGGTAGTGACATCGGTTGCTAGCAAGGCAACCGGTTCCGGCGGAGTGAGGAGAGGCGTCGCCCCTCTCCTTGCGTAACTCAGTTTCCCGAGTTGGCTGGATGGGGTACCCGTGCCTTGCCCTTGTCCGGGCATTGTGCAGTCAAGTGAGTGACACCATTGCACCAAAGGCGATATCCGTACCGTTGACGAAGATCAAATACTTCCTTGGTTATGTTGAACGCCGTTCATGGTTGCTGCCCAGTTCCCGTCGATGTCGTCGCTTGTGTCGCCTTGTTCTTCCGAACTCTCTTGGGACGCTTCGGCGGGAGTGCTGAGATAGTTCCTCCATCACTCGAGGATGCTGTTGCAGCGTGGAGATCGACTGATTCCTCAGAAATCACGGCATTGTTATGTGTCGGTCGTTGATAGCCCTGCTTAGCCACATAGTGCGGCTGGGACTGCCGTTCGTTAGCGGCCTTGTCATCCATTTGGATGACCAGGTTCGCACGATCCAGAATGGCCTGGAATGAGGCATGGTCGTACTCGTTGCCGAGTGCCGACCGCAGTCCTACACACGATCGCGAGAAGAACTCGGATCGTTGGTTTGAAAAACTCAAATCGAAGTCTGGCGTGGTCACTATCTTCTGCCACTTGATCGTCCAGTCTCGAGTTGGCATGCTTCCTTGTGAGCTGGTGTAAACCTCATTCATGGTCGCCTTCACGACGTTGCGGACCATGAATCGAATGAACCATAGTTGCTCGAACGCGTTCCACGGAATGTGCGTGTGGAGTTCGGCGATGGTGCATTTCTTGGTAGCCGCAAGATGGTTCATCCGTGCCTATGCTCCTCCAATCAGTTGGAGGTAGAGTGCCTTCATCATGTCTTCAGCCGGGACAGTGCGGCAGGATGCTTTCGTGAGGAAACCTTGCCACCATGTCAGGGCGTCGTCTTGTTGTAGTCGTCAAACTTGTTGATGTTGAAGTGCGGTATCTTGTAGTTCTTTGTAGCGGCGTCCGGTCTTGTCTGCAGCTTGGTGATGTCCGTCTTGATGGCGGCCACCGTGCTGCTGATCGTGGCCGAACTAGTGAAATCACCTAGTTCGCCAATTAGATTGACGACATGGTCGATGCGCTCGTTGAGCTGTTTCGCCGTGTCTGTCGTGCAGCCTGGCGCTGCTTGGGAAGGCCTTGCCTCCAGAGCAGCAATGCGGGTGTCCATCTTTTGCAGCTGGGAGTCCGCGACCTTGATGGCTGCTGCCAGCGTCTTCACGTTATGGCTAAGATCGTGCTGCAGCTGCCGTGTAGACCGGGAATGAAGGTCCCCCATGGTGCTGTTCCAGATGACTGCACGCATCGTGCATAGTAAAATGTCTGCCAGGTTATGTCTCTCCTGTTGTACTGCCGTCGGCTCGGCGCCTGCCACGGGGACATAACGCATCCCGTTGAGCACAGCGGCCCACTGATCGTGTTGAGCGATCAGAAGGTCGGCACTGTCGGCGTTGAGCTTGTCGGCCGCCAACTGCTCCGCCTCAGCTTGTCGCTGGGCTTGGGCTGCAGCTTCTGCTGCCAGCCGCTGTTTGTCTGCTTCGGCAGCATCTTGCCGTTCCTTGGCAAGGGTTAGTGTGGCCGTATAGGTCTGCGCTCTCTGAAGGTAGTCCGTGATGGACTCATTCGGCCCTTGAACCGGACAGACCGGCAATGGTTCGGCATTGCTAGATGTCGAAGTCTCGGATGATGTTCCGCTGTTAGGCGTGATCGCCATCTGAGTGCTGGTCTGTAGCTGTTGTCGAACTGCAGGTTGCTGTTGCTGTTGGCAATCTGCGATCCTCTTGCTGCGTCGTGGCTGCTGTTCGGTGGCTTGCCCTGCTGGCATCAGAAAACTGCTGCGAAAGGCTGGCTAGTCCGAATGGTCGCAGAACAGTAAGAGGGAGAGGGTGGGCACAGGGATAGAACAGATAGCAATTCGCATACAGCCCTTGTCCCAACTATGGACTTAGACACCTAATCAATAGAAAAAGATAAACTTCCCCGAAAACAACTTAAAAAAAAATTCATAGTAAGAAATAATAACGAATTAATAATGAAAATTTTAATTAATGATTAATAACGAATTAATACTTCTTAATAATAATCAATAAACCGGAAGGGGGGTTCGGATGAGGGGGCTTGCGTGAGTGTGGGCATCCACCTCCCCCCGCCCACCCGTCCCCATCAGCCGCGTTCCCGCCCCCACGCCCACCTTCCCTCTCCTTCGACCTCACCTCCCGCTCGTCCACCTGCCCCGACCAGGCCGCCCTCCCATCCCAACTCGACCCCACTGTCCAAACCTCGATCCCCAACACAGCCCCCTCATCCTGGCCCCCTTCCGGGTAATTCATCCACCTGCCCCGATCGGGCCACCCATTCGTCCCATCTCGACTCCACCTATCTTCGATCCCTGGTCAGCTACCCCCTCGCCC